TCTGTGTGTTTGTGCCTATTGGGGCCTTGCAGCTGTTCGGTGGTCTCTAGAGTGGGTTTTTCAAGGCCCACTTTTTAGTAGTTTTCCCTCTGAGTCTGTAGCTCCAGGAGAGGTCTCAGCTGCAGTGTGGGCTGCTTGGTCAGGGAACCATGTTCAGCATTCCCCTACCTTCTCTTAGAGTTATGCTATCTGCTAGCTTGCTAACAAACACTCCCCGAGCGACTCTTTCTATCTGTTCCTGGACTGGGATCAGAACATGTCTGTCTATTCTGCCACCATTTTTGCCCCCCCCCCCCCCCCTAAAGTATTCTTTTTTTCTTTATTTTACTGATTTTTTGACAGAGAGGAAGGGAGAGAGATAGAGAATTAGAAACATCAATGAGAGAGAGACATTGAGCAGCTGCCTCCTGCACACCCCCTACCGGGGATGTTCCCACAACCAACGCACATGCCCTCAACCGAATCAAACCTGGAACCCATCAGTCTGCAGACCGACGCTCTACCACTGAGCCAAACTTGTTTCGGCTCTTTATTTCAATTAGGATAGCCTTCATTTCTAAATGCTTTCTATGTCCTTTTTCATGATGTTGAAAATCCTGTTGAAAAACAATTTCTATATACAATATAGGATTTTCTATATACAATATCATGTTATCTGCAAAGATATATATAATTTTTTCCTAATTATTCTGGCTAAACCTGCAGTATAAGTTCAATAGAAATGGTGAGAGTAAACATCTTTATCTTCTTTCTGATCTTTAAAAGATTGTATCTATTTCACTAAGTTCTGTGAAGTGCTCACTCAATTTGTTCCTTGAGCATCCTTATAACCATTGTTTTGAACCATGTATCTGGTAATTTGCTTGCCTACATTTCATTTATTTTGAAAAAAAAATTTTTTTTTTAATATATATTTTATTGATTTTTTTACAGAGAAGAAGGGAGAGAGAGAGCTAGAAACGTAGATGAGAGAGAAACATCAACCAGCTGCCTCTTGCACACTCCTACTGGGGATATGCCCGCAACCCAGGTACATGCCCTTGACCGAAATCGAACCTGGGACCTTTCAGTCCGCAGACTGATGCTCTATCATTGTGCCAAACCGGTTTCAGCTATTTCGAAAATTTTTTATTTTGGAAATTTCTCCTATTTTTTTCATTTAGAACCTGTTTCTTTGTCTCCACATTTTGTCTGCTTTCCTGCGTTTGTTTCTATGTATTAAGTAGAGCTGCTACATCTCTTGGACTTGATAGAGTGACCTTGTCCTGTATGGCCCTGGCTCAATCTCCCCAGTCATAGGAGCTGTGTGTTCCAGATGCACCCCTGTGTATGCTGTGTGCACTGTATTGCTATAGCGGAACCATAAATGCTATTGGTGTCACTAGAAGGAATTTGCTGCGAGTACCTTCTGTGACTACAATGGAATTGATCCTACAGAGCAGAACTTGCTTCACTGGGGCTTTGGTGTTCCCGGAGTCTGCACCTGAGTGTGTCCCTTGTGTAGATGGTAGGGTGGTAATCTGGTGTGATATGAAGCTGTCCATCAGGTGCACTGAATTTTGGGCCTCCCAATGAGGAGCAAGGTCAGTTAATACATGTGCCTTGCCTGGGCCATCTAGCTCAAGCTACCCAGTGATCCGCAGATGGCTGTTACTTGTCTTGGGATTGGAGAACCAAGTCCAGCATCCACTAGTGCTTGGCTTGGGGCCACTTAGCAAGAGGTATAGCATACTCATAAGCCAGATGCTGCTTGTTTGAGAAGTCTTAGTAAAGTCTGAAGCATGAGGCAAGAGAGACCATTGGTATGGAAAAGCCACTGGAAATGTCTTGGATGGGCCCATAATTGGGTGGGGTGGGTCTCAGGGAATCACCAGGTTTGGGCAGACAGTGTTAGGTAGGTTGATGGAGACTCAGATATGATGCCCACCTGCTGGGTCTATTTGTGGTGAGGGAATGTTTCAGAAAAAGGAGCAGTGGCCTCTGTCAGTATTTTTTTCCTGGCAGAAAGCTGACCCTTCAATTCTCGGCCAGATACTAAACAACTCAGTTCCTCCCCATATGTTTCTGGCTCCTTTCAAGCTGCTTCCCAGGCACTAGAACTCAGAGGGTGTGAATTGGAGTAAGTCCATGTACAAGCCCTTTAAGAGGAACTGCCTGGGACTCCAGCAGCCCTCCTTCTCAGCCACAATTCCCACTGTTTTTTACAGCCAGAAGTTATGAGGACTTCCCTTTCTGTGAGCCTGTATTTCTTTAATAAGTTCTTCATTGGTTTCCTTGGCTAAGTTCTTTAAGGTATCAAGAATTTTCAGGTTGTTTTTTTTTTTTTTTTTTTTTTTTTACCTAATAAAACATTCTAATCATGTCATTTCTTTCTCAGAAATAATAGTTCTGAGTGTTCTGTGGAATCGTCTGTCTGGTCAATGTACAGTGTTTCTGGAAGGCAAACTTGAAAAGCCTTTAAAATGTTCACATCTTTTAATCCACAAATGCTATTTAGAAATTTATTTTGTGGAAATAAATAGAAAAGTACAAATTAATATGTAAGGGCATTTTTCCTGCAACTATTCATAATATTGCCAAATTGAGATAATTTCTAAGGTTGGGGTATTAGTAGTAGGCTGGATTGTATAGCTAACTAGAGGCCCTGTGCACAAAATTCATGCACAGGGTGGTTGGGGATGTTTCACAGTCCAGGACTGCTGGCTCCCAACTGCTCACCTGCCTTCCTGATTGCCCCTAACCACTTCTGCCTGCCAGCCTGATCACCCCCTAACCACTCCTGTGCCAGCCTGATTGATGCCTAACTGCTCCCCTGTCAGCCTGTTTGCCCCTAACTGCCCTCCCCTACAGGCTTAATCCCCCCCCTGACTGCCCTCCCCTACAGGCCTGGTCCCCCCCTAACTGCCCTCCCCTACAGGCCTGGTTCCCCCCCAACTGCCCTCCCCTGCAGGCCTGGTTACCCCTATCTGCCCTCTCTTGCAGGCCTGGTCTCTCCCAACTGCTCTCCCCTGCAGGCCTGGGTCCCCCTAACTTCTCTCCTCTGCCAGCCTGGTCACCCCTAAGTGCACTTCCCTGCAGGCTTGATCACCCTCAGCTGCCCTCCCCTGCTGGCCATCTTGTGGTAGCCATCTTATGTCCACATACGGGCAGGATCTTTGACCACATGGGGGCAGCCATTTTGTGTGTTGGAGTGATGGTCAGTTTGCATATTACTTTTTTATTAGATGGGATAGAGGCCTGGTGCATGAGTGGGGTCTGGTTGTTTTCCCCCGAAGCGTGTTCCGGATCAGGGTGGGGGTTCCCTTGGTGAGTGGGGCTGCTTGGACGAGAGGCCTGTGGTGGTTTGCAGGCCAGCCACGCCCCCTGGCGACCCAAGTGGAGGCCCTGCTATCTGGAATTCATTTATCTTCTACAGTTGAAATTTGTTGCCTGAAGTGGAGCCAAACATTCTGCTTGCTCTCTGGCAGCAGACATTTCTGTTAGGATTTATGTATCTTCTATAATTGAAATTTTATAACCTTAAGCAGAGGCCTTGGCTGGCCATGGTGTGCGAAAGCTTGTCTTCCTCCATTGCCGGGGACAACCCTAGCCTCCTGGTCTCTCTAGCTCCGGGGCTGCTGCCATTTCTGTTTGGGTTTATGTATCTTCTATCATTGAAACTTTGTATCCTTGAGTGGAGGGCCTAGGTTGGCCAGGGTGTGTGGAAAACTTGGCTTCCTCTAATGCCAGGGAAACCCAAGCCTCTCAACTGTTCTCTGTGGCTGCAGCCATCTTGGATGGGGTTAATTTGCATACTCTGTGATTTGCTGAGGGCTTGTGGGTGTGGCTTGTGGGTGTAGCAAAGTGATGGTTAATTTGCATATTACTCTTTTATTAGGTAGGATAATATGTGTGAATGGATTTACGCTGAATGGCCAGATTATTATGATCTCTGAATGCATAATAATCTGGACACTCTGTGTGTGTGTGTGTGTGTGTGTGTGTGTGTGTGTGTGTGTGTGTATTAGAGGTCCAGTGCATGAATTAGTGCAGGGGTGAGGTCCGGCCAGCCTGGCCAGGGAGAAGGGACGTGGGTGGTTGGCCGATCTGCCTGCTGGTCGAACTCCTAGTCAAGGAGACAATTTGCATATTAGCCCTTTATTATATAGGATATACACTGAGTGTCCAGATTATTATGTGTTGAGAGATCATAGTAATATGGCCACACAATGTATACAACTAATGTATCTCTACAACAATGTATAGAATGTCATATTTTTAAATTGAACATTTATAACTCGTTATTCCTATAACAGTATAAATTTATTGGAATGTATGTCACCTAATATAGTATTTTTCATTTACTTAATAAGTACTTATTGGTCAATAACTCAATATGTGTTAAGCATCGTTTTAGAAGCTATGGATAAAATATTAAACCAGACCAAAATCCCATCCCTCAATATATATCAAAATTATGTAACATTAAATTGAACACTGCTTTTTTTTTTTTTTTTTTTTAAACATTACAGCTCTTTAGACACTCCATACTCCATGTTATTTGTTTCTGTTTCCTCCTTTAAATTATAAACTTCATCAGAATGGAAACCATGTTTCTTTCATCTAAGTGATTTCTGTGCTTTGTCTGTAATATGAGGTTGGTGATTATAGAGTTGGACAATGTTATTTCTTGGTCATTGGAAAAATGGAACATATTCAATAGTAAATGGACATTTTTTTGCACAGTTTACAAAATGCATTGTCAAGATATCTTTGAATCTTAGTTGTGACATTAAAAACTTTGTTACCATTTTAATAACTCCATTTAAATAAAGTGATTTTTACTTATTAATTTTGGTCATGTTTATCATTAATAAGTGCTGATTGATATAAGAACAGATTGAATGGGATGCTGTTTCTTAATTCATGTTTTATAGCAGGACTTTCCAATGTCCAGGATACTTAATTTTATAAGTTTATTTGTGTGTACTTTTTTTTACCACTTTCTTTTTACGTTACAGGCTTTCAAAGGAGGCTGCAAAGCTCCTCATGCTATGATATCTTCCTGTGGAACAATCCCAGGAAATCCATATCCCAAAGGAAAACCTAGTCGCATATATGGAATTTTCCCAGTAAGCATACTTTTATAGCTATATCTGAAACTTCTTGTGGCTAAATATGAAATATAGCATAGTTATGATATATAAGTTGATGAGGCTTCTACAAAGAAAAGGAATTTTGTTATGTCAGCAACTTAATTCATATATTGAAAGTTGATATATCAGCTACATTAAAGTATTTTTGTAAAATGTACAGAACACGCCAAATAGCAAAGATGATGATTTTGCTTTGTTTTGTTTTTTCAAGTATTTTAGAAGCACTTATTTACATTTAGTAAAAGAGCATCTCTCAGTATTTCTCAGACAGTTTCACAGTTAAGTATGTTTGGAAAACTACATGCAATATTTTTTTCCTGGAAAATCCTATTGTATAATAAAGCCTCTGAGAGGTCTGACAAGAAAGAAACTGGTTTTTATATCATCCAGTGTTTCTAAGTTTTTTTGTAAGCTGTTTCAAAGAATGGTGTTTATTATTGTAGTGTTATAAATAAACCTAAAACTTAGTGGATTAAAACAGAAAACATTTATCATCACATGTAGGTGATCTGGGAATGGCTTAGTTTGATCATGGCTCAAGATTCTCATGAGGCTGCAGTTATCTGGAGGCTAAATTGGAGCTCCATACTATACTTCCAAAGTGGCTCCTTTACATGCCTGGCAAGTTAGTGTAGGTTATTGGCAAGAAGTCTTTGTTCTCTATCATAAGGACTTTTCCATAGTGCTGGTTGAGTACCTCATGACATGGTAGCTGACTTCCACCAGAGCCAGTCATCTAGGAGAAGATAAGTGGAATCTGTGTTGTCTGTATGACTTAGCCTTGGAAGTCAAATGCCATCATTTCTGGAATATCCTGTGTGTTGCATAGGTTTCCCTATTCATTCTGGAAGGGGACTGAACACAGCATGTTGGAGGTGAGGATCACTGGCACCATCTTGGAAGTTGGTTTCCAACCATTTAGGGACACACACTATTAGGGTGACACAGTGTAATAGTCAACTTATTCTGGTCTGTTAATTATAGCAGCCTTGAGTGAGGTCTTACTTGCGCTTGTATAATATAAACTAGCATGCTTAATGCTTATAGAGAACACCATTTTTTTGTCATTATGTTTCAACTGTAATACAGGTACTCTTTGATTCTTACATATATTATAGCATGTAGGTCTATTTCTGATTGCATCTTTTGGGAGAGAAAATAATTAAAGCGTGCTTTATCCTGTTCTCTTATTATGTGTGTACTTCTGAGGACCCCTGTACCTGTTTTGAGGATTCTGTGGTAGAGGAGTGATGAGCAACTTATCAGGATCATGCATCCAGGGCAGGGTTGAATCTGGAATCCAATGTTTAAATGCTTACCAGGTCCTTTTCTTCACAATAATACAGGCATTCCTCAGAGATATTGTGGGTTCAATTCCAGACCACTTTAATAAAGGGAGTGCCACAATAAAGCAAGTCTTAATCTTTTTGTTGGTGGAGGTTTGCCTTTGATGTAAAAAAAAAAAAAAAATGCGATATCTGTGAAGTGCAATAAAGGAAAAATACAATAAAATGAGATAAGCCTATATAGTGAGGGGTTTTTGTTTTGTTTTTGTTTTAGGGTTTCTCAAAAGTCTCAATTCTTTTTCTTTTTTATAGGGAACCCCTTTGAAAAAAGATGGTGAAGAATGTACCAATGAAGGCAAAGGAATAGCTGCACGGATTCTTGGACCATCTAAACCAGTATGTTTAGAAAATAAATGATGAAACAGGTCAACTCTTAGATGTAGTTTTCTGTTTAAAGTGTAAATTCTTTTTTTGTGTGTTAGGAAGTTCAAAGTATACTAAAATCCCTCAGAAAATGCATGGCCTAGGACAATATAAGTATAACTTAATAGTGCTAAGGGCCTTTTTGAATTTGTTTTGTTTTAAAGTGAAAACATAATTTGTTTTTATTTTTTTCTCTTGCCACATTTAGCTGTTCCTTTGGAAGTATAAAGCATGGAAGGTTCACTTTAAGATTATGGTTTGGCCAAATTAGTATTAGGGTTAGTAAAACAGGACAGAGCAAGGAGAAAGAATATTTTCCTCTCTCCTCTCTCCTCTCTCCTAAAAGTACAGTATTTGGCTTAGCTTTTGCGATACCGCTGCTTCTCTAGAAACCAGTTCTTTTAAGTTCTTTATTATTTATATAAGTTCCACCAAAGATAACAGATTTGTGGATTTCAAAAGGCAAAAAAAAAAAAGACTAAAATACTGAATTCATAATTCCAGGCTACATTCTGCTATATTTGGCAGCATGTTGAATGCTAAAGAAAACTTTTTTGTTTTTTATTTTCAAAAGGGGAAAAGAGGGTAAGATGAATGCATTCCTAATAAGTTTGGAGGATTTTTGAAGGTTCTTGGGTAGCTTTAATTCCAAAAGCTAGTGGATTTCTTTTGTTACATAGGAAGAGGTAGGAATTCTTGAATTACATTAGGCAGATCAGAGAGAAATTGGCTGTTTGGGATAAGATCTGACCCTTCACTGGAGTTGATTTGATGCTGAAATAAAAAATAAACATCTCTGTGGCAATCTTGGTCAGGGTCTACCTTTGGAATTTAATAGGAACCACATGTTTTATATATATATTTTTTATTGATTTCTTACAGAGAGAGGAAGAGAGAGGGATAGAGAGTTAGAAACATCAATGAAGGAGATTCATCTCGATCAGCTGCCTCTTGCACACCCTCTACTGAGGATGTGCCTGCAACCAATGTACATGCCCTAGACCGGAATCGAACCTGGGACCTTTCAGTCTGCAGGCCTATGCTCTAGCCACTGAGCCAAACCGGTTTCAGCAGGAACCACATGTTTTAAAGCAAATAGATTTTCATTGTTTGTGCCATGTGTTGGTCCAGTAGCATTAGCTTTGCTGGGCATTTTTAGCCTCTTATGACTAAATATTTTGAAACAACTTACATTTTGTTTTGTCAGTAGAGTGCTTAGTTGATTTATTTCTAACTGTTGTACTTTACCCCCTCATTTAGCCTCCTTCAACATACAATCCACATAAACCCGTTCCTTATCCAATACCTCCATGCCGGCCACATGCAACTATTGCACCAAGTAAGGAGTTCTTTCATGTTTTACACTTTTTCATTTTGCTCTTATTAAATTGAAAGTAAGTGTTGGTATATGTACTCGGGAAATCTCAAGCATCTATAAAATGTTCTGTGATTTGTTAACTTACCCACAGGCAGCTTAACTAGTGTCTTGGTCTACAACAATGCAGCAGACAATTTAGGATATTTTCCTTTTGCTAAATGAACTATAGATTATTTTTCAACTTTATTTATTATCATGGGTTTTCTCTTTGGTAAATCGTCCTGAATCTCTTTTTGATAATTGGTATTCAAAGGCATCCTTAAGTATGGCAGGTTCTACCTGCCATGCCATTTAGTGAGCTTATGCCTGGGGTTAGCATGCAGTGTTGGAATAAGAACCTCTAATTATCTTATTTGATCTATTTTCATCTACTCCATTACCCAACTTTCACATACAGTGCGACTCTATTATATTATAGTTTTAAAAATAAATTATATAAACGCATTAATGTACCTAGTTGAACTCCTGGCCACAAAATGATAACAAATTATATATTTTTCTATTATGTTTTTATTTTAGGTGCTTATAACAATGCAGGTCTAGTACCATTAGCCAATGTCATAGCTCCTGGCGTACCCCCTCCACCTCCATATACTCCTAATCCAGCAGGAACAGGTAAACTAATGTTATGGGGTGTTCAACATATATAAATTATCCATACATGAATGTACTCTTGGAAGGGATAGTTGTTTGAAATGGTGTGTCATAAAAGAAGGAGCACAAAATAGGAGCCGATTGATGAATCCGAGTATGATATGGAGATTTTCCTAGAGTGCTCTTCCCCTACATGTGTGAACAATAGTGTGTTATAGAAATGAGAATCATTTCTCAGGAGCAAGCAACTTCAGCAGAAAAAGTATAATTGTCTTAATGGATAACACCATTTGCACAAAATATTCCTACCATGGGGAAGAAAGTCTTATAAGGGGATGCTTAGAGAGGCTTAAACTCTTTCCCCAGCATTTTCCAATTAATCTTTTCCTTAGGAACATGGAATATGAAGCATAAATATTTTATTCTATACTAGAGTCCCAATGCATGAAAATTCATGCAAGAGTAGATATTCCTTCCACTGGCCGCTGGCACTGTTTCCCTGTGGCACCCGGGACCCTGGCTGGCAGCACCAGCTTCCCTCCGGGACCCGGGCTTCCCTCCTCTGGCAGCCAGCAGGCACCCAGGACCCAGGCTGGCTTCCTTCAGGGCCTGGCTTTGTCAGGAAGGATGACAGAATGACATCTGGAAGATGTCTGGTCTAATTAGCATATTACCCTTTTATTATTAGAGGCAGATATTGCCAAACTGTTCTCCAAAAAAAGTACTAATTTATACCAGCCAGTGAGAGTTGCAAATTAACAGGGTGTCACAACTGGCTCTTTGCGGTAGTGTGAGGGTCAAGTAGCATAATCCCTTTTTATTAGATACGAGTTGGGAAAATTGACATTTTTATAATATTAAGTCTTATATATGTCCTTATAGCTTGTCAAATGGTAGTGTTTCTCCTCCAGGGTTTATTGTCAATCACTGAGCCATGCTGGCCAGGCCATACATTCTTTCTGATTGGTGTTTGGGTTTTTTTAGGATATATTCCTACAAGTGGAATCACTGGGTCAAATGGCATATCCATATTTAATATTTTGAGGAAAGTCCACACTGTTTTCCATAATGGACGCATCAGTCTGCATTCCCACCAGCAGTGTACTAGGGTTCCCTTTTCTCCACATCTTGCCAGCACTTATCACTTGTTGATTTTCTTATGGTAGCCTTTGTGAGAGATGTGAGGTAATACCTCATTGTTTTATATCTTTTGGATGAACAGTTACTGAGCATTTTTTTATATGTCTCTTCACATCTGTGTCTGCTTTGGAGTAGTACCTGTTTAGATCCTTTGCCCATATTTAAATTGGATTATTTGTCCTTTTGTTAAGATGTATGAGTTTCTTAAATATTTTGGATATTAGTCCTTAATTAGATGTATCATTGCCAAATATGTTCTCCCATACAGTGGGCTCTCTTGTCATTTTATTGATGGTTTCTTTTGCTGTGCAGAGGCTTTTTATTTTGATGTAGTCCCATTTACTTTCTCCTTAGTTTCCTTTGTCCTAGGAGGTGTATGTCCTCTTTTGAGAAATGTGTATTTAGGTCTAATGCATTTTTTACCTGGATTGTTTATCTTCCTTTTATTGAACTGTATGAGTACTTTATTTTATTTATTTATTTTTAAAATATATATTTTTATTGATTTCAGAGAGGGAGAGGGAGATAAAGATAGAAACATCAATGATGAGAGAGAATCATCAATGATGAGAGAGAATCATCAATCAGCTGCCTCCTGCATGCCTACTACTGAAGATCAAGTCAGAAAACGGATATGCCCTGACCGGAAATTGAACTCAGACCTCCTAATTCATAGGTTGACACTCAACCACTGTGCCAGCTCTTGTAGAGGCTTGTTTTGTGTCCTAACCTGTGGTCTGCCTTTAAGAATAACCCATGTGTACTTGAGGAGAATGTCTATTCTGCAGCTTTGGAGTGAAATTGTTTTATAAATGTCAAATCTATCTGATCCAGTGTGTCCTTTAGAGTCACCGTTTCCTTGTTAACTTTTAAAGGAACAGTGTTTCCCAAACTTTTGACATATGTATACCCCTTCTATAATTTTGGTAACGCTGAGTACCCCTCGTACTCGTGAGAACGTAGAATTAGGCGCAGCTAAGCACGGTGCAGTGCATATCCCCACCAAACTCTCCCCGTACCCCTGGGGGTATGCCTTCCACACTTTGAGAAACACTGAATTCTACAGTATCTATCCAGTGAATTCAACAGTGTTAAAATCCCCTACCATGACGGTATGACTGATCTCTCCCTTAATTTCCCCTAGAAGTTTTTTTTAAAAATATATTTGGGTTCTCCTCTTTTGAGTGCATATATGTTTACCAGAGTGATATCCTCTTGTTATCTCAATTCTTTTAGTATTAAAGTAGTGACTTTTAGTATTTCTTATGCTGGCCTTTATTTTGAAGTCTATTTTGTCAGCTTTTTTTTTTTTTTTTGGCATGGAAATTTTTTTCCCATCTATGCATTCTCTTTATGTATGCATCTTTTGTTTTGAGGTGGGTCTCTTGTAGAAAGCAAGTCATATTTTTATATCCATTGAGCCACCCTGTATCTTTTGATTGGACCATTTTAAGCCATTTACATTTAAAGTTATTATTGATAGGTACTTATTTATTACCATTTTAATTATTTTTCTCTCTGTTTTTTTTTTCTCTATTTCTTCTTATTACAGCAGTTCTTTTAGCATTCCTTTCAGGGCTGGTTAAATGGTGATATACTACTTTTAACATTTTTGTTGCCTTGGAAGCTTTTTATTTCACATCTATATTTAATTTTTAAAAAAATTATTTTATTGTTTATAGTATTACAAATAATAATATATATATCTCCTTTTTTTCCCCATTGACCTTCCCCTAGTGTCCCCTACACCTCAGCACATGCCCTCACTCCACCACCCCAGTGTCTTATGTCCATTGGTTATGCTTATATGTAAACTTATAAGTCCTTCGGTTGATCTCTTACCCCCACCCCCTCCAATACTCCCCAGCCTTCCCACAGTAATTTGACAGTCTATTCGATGCTTCTCTGCCACTGTATCTATCTTTTGGTTCATCAGGTTATAACGTTCTTTATTATCCATAAATGAGTGAGGTCATGTGATATTTATCTTTCTCTGACTGGTTTATTTCACTTAGTATAATGCTCTCCAGTTCCACCCATGCTCCTACAAATTGTAAGAATTCCTCCTTTTATATAGCAGTGTAGTATTCTGTTGAATAGATGTACCATCATTTTCTAATCCACTCATCTGGGGATTTAGGCTGTTTTAAAATTTTATCTATTTTAAGTAGTGCTGCTATGAACATAGGGGTTCAATATCCTTTCTGATTGGTGTTTCAATTTTCTTGGGATATATTTTTAGAAGTGATATTACTGGATCAAATGGCAGCTCCATTTTTAAATATTTGAGGAAACTACATATTGTTCTCCATAGGGGCTGCACCAGTCTGCATTCCCCCCAGCAGTGTAATAGGGTTTGTTTTTCTCCCCAGCACTTGTCGTTTGTTGATATGTTGATAGCCATTCTGATAGGTGTGAGATGGTACCTCATTGTCGTTTTGATTTGCATCTCTTGGATGATTAGTGACTTTGAACATGTTTTCATTTGTCTCTGGGCCTTCTGTATGTCCTCTTTCGAAAAGTGTCTATTTAGATCCCTTGACCATTTTTTGATTATTTTCATTTATCTTCCTTTTGTTAAGTTGTATGAGTTCTCTGTAAATTTTGGAGATTAAATACTTATCGGAAATATCATTGGCAAATATGTCCTTCCAAGTCGTGAGCTTTCTTATTGTTTTGTTGATGGTTTCCTTTCCTGTGCAGATTTGGTTTTTTTCTCTTTAGTCTCTCTTGCCCTAGGGTCTGTCTGGAAAGATATTGCTACAACATATGTATGCAGTTTTGCTGCCTATGGAGTCTTATTGGATTTTTTATGATTTCCCATCTTACATTCAAGTCCTTTAGCTATTTTGAGTTTGTTTTGTGTATGGTGTAAGTTGGTGATCTAGTTTCATTTTTTTGCATGTATCTGACCAAATTTCCCATGACCGTTTATTAAAGAGACTGTTTGACTCCATTCTATGCTCTTACCTTCTTTGTCAAATATTGAGTATAATGGCTTGGGTCAATTTCTGGGTTCTCTATGGGTTCTCTATTCTGTTCCATTGTCTGTATATCTGTTCTTGTGCCAGGACCAGGCAGTTTTGAGAACAGTTGTTTGGTAATATAGCTTAACATCTGGCATTGTAATCTCTGCAACTTTGTTTTTTCTCTTTCAGCATAACTGTGGCTATTTGGGGTCTTTTTTTATTCCAGATGAATTTTTGGAGCGTTCTAAGATCTTTGAAATATGCCATTGGTATTTAATAGGTATTGCTATTGAATCTATAGATTGTTTTAGGTAATAAGGACATGTTAATGATCTTGATTATACTAATCCATAAACATGGTATGTTCTTCCATTTGTTCATGTCTTCCTCTATCTCTTTTTTCAATGTCCTGTAGTTTTTTGAGTACAGGTCTTTTACCTTCTTTGTTAAGTTTATTCCTAGGCATCTTAAATTTTTTGGTACAATGGTAAATGGAATTTTTTTTTCTTTTAATTTCTCTTTCTGTGAGTTCATTATTGGTGTATAAAAAGGCCATAGACTTCTAGGTGCTAATTTTCTGTCCTGCTACATTGTCAAATTCATTTATTAGGTCTTGTAGCTTTTTGGTGGAGTCTTTGGAGTTTTCTATGTATAGTATTATGTCATCTGTAAATAAGGACAGTTTTACTTCTTTTCCAATTTGGATACCTTTTATTTTTTCTTCTTGTCTGATTGCTATGGCTTAGAGTACTTTTAGTACTATTGAACAGGAGTGGTGAAAGTGGGCATCCTTTTCTTGTTCCTGTTCTTAGGGGAAATGAGTTTAGTTTGTGCCCATTGTGTATGATGTCAGCTGCAGGTTTGTGATACAGGGCTTTTATTATGTTGAGATATGATCCCTCTATTCCCACG